TCGATATTCCATTCAGTTTCTAGAATTACCCTAGTAAGAGTTGTTTCAAAAGGCAAGTTTTCCGGGCCGAGTCAAGTAAGAAGTTTGATTCTAGTTGCAGGCTTGGCCAAGTCCTTGGATCTGCCAAAAACAGGGTTGAACCTGACTCTTGGCTTAGATTCCAGAGCTCTTACAGGCGTCTAATTGACTTTAGAACTATGTTTAGCTTTTCTTTGGATTAGATACAGTTTGTAACGCTAAACCTCCTCATTCAGTTTCGAAAATCGCTCTGACATCTTTAGCTGTAAAGTTTACAAAGTCATAACCTGAATTTTAGAATCCAAGTCTTCAACTTCTTAAGCTTAAAGTTAAATAACTTTCCTATTGTTATTTCTCAACAACTCGTCAAAATCGTAAAAATTTTTATTCTTTTTGGATAGTTGACCTGCTTTTCCACTTTTTCTTTACTATTCCCCTTTTGCTTAGAAAAGCACGGTCACCGATAAGGAATTCTACACCACTCTTTCTTTCCCTCCTTTCTCTAGAAAATCATTATAACCGGTCATCACAAATTTTCCCCTTTTCTTTTTTTTGTTATCATTTTCTGACATAAGACAATTGTGTTATTTAACTTTCGAAATATTAAAAAGATCTCTTGACTGACTGTCATTTAGCGAAAATATCTCTCGAATGATTGTCATTTAGCTATTTGTTCAATTCAAAGGTTAATAGAGTTTAAAATCATTACTTCTACCATCTAGCATTTACCAATTTAGCATTTAGCAATTTTGCTGAACAGATTTAGCAATTTAACATTTACCAATTTTGCTAAACCAGCAGAACAACCCGCTTAACGGCGGGCTGCTTCAGAAAGCGAAGCTGCTTCAGAAAAAATGATTGCCAGCAACGAATTCCCTGTGTTGGAAAGCTCCAGCATGCAAATTTGAACGTAAAACTCAAATTGCACCGATGGCGTAGTGGATAAAGCGCTCGCCTCAAGCGCACACCACCCGGGTTCGATCCCCGCCAGTGGCCACCCACTTTGAACTCTTTTTTGAAAAGGCATAACTACATGAAATTTGTTATACAATACAACTATTATGTATGCGTTTCAGCGTTTTGTTTTTATGAGCTCATTTATAATGGGCAATGATTGTGGTGTGCGACAGTTATAATGTTAAAAAATCTAATTTTTTACCCACATAACCTATTCTGAAATATCTCTCGACTGATTGTCATTTAGCTATTTTTGTAATCATTATTATTTTAAACAAACTAAACTTTAAAATATTCATCTAGCTTTCGCTTTCAGTTATAGAAGTTTCAGCTGTGTTTTCTTGGTTTCTTGCGATTTTTTAAAGCTTTCTTTCTTTAGCTTTCTTGGTCACTCATCCAAAATTTCCTTTCTCAAAGCTTTTCTCAAAGTTTACGATAAATTTTGCTCATTTCCAGATCACATGAGCACACCGAGATAAGGAAATTTCAGTGTTTTAAGAGAAATAGAGAAATGCGGTCATTTCTCAACATTTTTTAAAGCTAATTATGTTGATTTGTTGGAAATTTGTTTGAAACAGAGCAAGATTCCATTGTTTGTTCAAGATTTTTCAAATAATTAGCTAAATTCTGTCATTTTTATATCTTTTATTTGACTTTTCGACATTTTGACATCATTTTCTTTTTACTTAGTAACAATTGAGTAATAATTTCAACAAGTTTGATGATTGATTCACAGAATATGAGCTTGCGTTTGGCTTGATCAGTTTAAGGGTTCAAGTTGATTGGCTTTGTATTGTCTTAGCCTCAAAAATCGGTCAGCTTGATTGATTCTGAGTTTGATGAACCGTATCAGATACAGGAATCGGTTCTTTGTTAAGCCCAGAAGATCCAAAATTAGCTTGTTAGCACGGTTTTCTTTTGAAACTTCATTCTGATATCTGTTCTAACAAGTTACTTGTTGACATTGACACTTGCTGCTATAACAAGTTACTTCCTGAACTCAAAAGCAGGGCCCGGGTCTACGTTTACGGTAATTTATCAAGAGCCAAAAAGTAGAAGAAAAGTGAAAAGAAAAAAAAGTAGAAAGTGACTCGATTCATTTTTTGGTCACTCGTATTTCGCCCTCTTCAATCGTCCGAAATTTCTTGAATGGTTCGATCAATTGAAACACGCTTTAGCCTATTTTGTAAAGGAGATTTACAACTTTCAAATAGTTTATAACATTCATCGATATCAGGTTTCTATCGTTGGGAATTTATGAAAATGTTGAAATTCGCATTTCTTATGCATGTACCTAATAAAAAAACTAGAGGACCCAAAAAGTTTGCTAAATTTAGCAGTTGATGGACTCGGGCCCAGAATCTGTCAGAGATGTTGTTATCTAGCCAATCAAAATCAAATCAAGGATCAATAATACCATAGAGACATGAATGAAAAGATAGTAAAAGTTCTAATTTCATATAAAAGATTGTTTTATGAAATTAGAGTTCGAGAGTTCGAAAATCTGCTTTGCTTGAAATCAGGTTACCCAAAAGCAAAGCGACTATGATATGAGAAAGAGAGTGAGTCAGTTTTTTTGTCGAAGATACAGTAGAAAAAAATTGATAGATGATAGCTCTCGAAGAGTTTTTGCATTAAGGAAAAAAACCCAAAGAAATCCGGGTTAGAAGAAATTCCTTTTTTGGTCACTCGCATTTCGGCCTCGAAATTTCTTCAATGGTTCGATCAATTGAAACACGTTTTAGCCTATTTTGTAGAGGAGATTTACAACTTTCAAATAGTTTATAACATTCATCGATATCAGGTTTCTATCGTTGGAAATTTGTGAAAATGTTCAAATCCGGATTTCTTATGAATGTACCTAATAGAAAGCGCAATAACCGTCGATTTGCTTTCTGTATTCCTTTTTATTGTTGGTGATGATTGCTCTAAAATCTGAGCTATTAAAGAACCATTCTTTAGTGTTGAGCTTTCAATGTCATAAGCTTTTCTTTCTAAATCTTCAATTTTGGGAAGCTAACTCTATTTTGACCACACTAAACTTGTCCCTAAAGTGACTCGATTCCTTTCTTGGTCATTCGCATGTCACCCTCGAGATTTCTTCAATGCTTCGATCAATTGAAACACGTTTTAGCCTATTTTGTAGAGGAGATTTACAACTTTCAAATAGTTTATAACATTCATCGATATGAGGTTTCTATCGTTAGGAATTTATGAAAATGTTCAAATCCGGATTTCTTATGTATGTACCTTGATTGGCTAGATAACAAAATCATCTCTGACAGATTCTGGGCCCGGGTGTACCAACTGCTAGATTTAGCAAACTTTTTGGGTCCTCGAGTTTTGCTAAATCAAATCAAGGATCGAATTTTGATAATGCTATAGAGACATGACATGAACAGACATGAACTAATCATATTTTCATCAGAAACAAATATTCTTTCAAAGAATGGACCGTTTCCTTTTCTCATTTGCCTCTTTCCTCTTCCATTCCTATATCTGCCCTTGAAACAGCGATCTTTCTTCATTTCCTCTCCAATCCTTTTCTCTTTTCATATCTCTCTTTTGTGTGCCACGTCGTTTCCCCTTTCCAGTCGACACTATTTGTGCCCTTCTTCTTCTTTCAAACAAACCATCCCCCTTTTCTCCAATAGATTTTCTATTCTATTTGCTTTTCAAAACTAAAATATCGATATTGTTGCTAATTTTTGGAATTCTATTGTTCTATTTTAATTCCATTGCCAAGAAATATCGATTTCTAGCATAATAATTTGGTAAGTCGTTTTTGAGTTCAATCTAGAGCAGACTTTCATCCTAAACAACCCTCAAAACCAGCCATTTCATCGCCATAATTTGGTAAGTCGTTTTTGAGTTCAATCTCGAGCAGACTTTCATCCCAAACAACCCTCAAAACCGGCCATTTAGAAAGGTTAAGCTTTACAAATGAAAACTACCGGCTATTTCATCAGAATATCGCCTAGGACCATGCCTAAATCAATTTTTAAAATTTTGAAGCTCTTCTATACATGTACTCAAGCATGTAAGACGTCTTGAGTAGCTTCTCGTAGCTACTGGAACTCGTTAGCTATATCTAAAGCTATTAGTAACTATTCATAGCAAACAAAATAGTAATTACCTAGGATAAACAATGAAATCAACCAAGTGATGAAGCTGAGCAAGATCCACAGCCTAATAAAAGATATTTAATGGTGAACAAAAGCTCCCTACAGAAAGCTCTAAGCTCTAAGCGTCTCTGCAACGTGCACATCAAGCAATTCTTCTAATTTCTCTTTACTTCTAATTCTTCTAATTTCTAATTTCTCTTTACTGCAATTTGCAATTTGCAATTTGTGAAACCTTTGCTTCTAATTTTGAAAACAAAATCAAATCTTAAATTGAGTCATTATTTTGAAGCAATCATCCAAAAGATAGCGCTCTTTTGCTTCGATAGCACAATAGCAAAGAAAAACTTCGATAGCACAGAGAGTTTTCTCTGTGCCTAATCATTTTCCGATTCCCTTTCGTGAGCATCGATTTTGCTTGTCCTTTCGAAATGGCTTGTACTTGAATTACTTTTTTTTGGCGACTAAAATATTTACAATGCTTTCTAACTTGTTCACTTTCAAAGTATCTAGATTTTTGAATCTTTCAACCGAATTAAACCTATCAGATGATGTAAATATTAAAAGAGAACTAGAGAACTAAAACTCGAAAACTAAAACTAGATTTAGCACAATTTTTAGCCAGATCGGTCGGCTAAAAGAAAAATTAGGGCCATTAGAAGCTTCGTAAGTAAAAAGCTATTATTAAGTCCTTATATGAAGACAGATTAAGTCTCACTCTCTCACTTTCTTTTAGCCGATCGGACGATCGGGCTAAAAATTCGAATATAAGTGTAAAAATGTTATAGAAATGAAAAGATCACGAACTTTAAGTAATATTCTGATACATTCTCGACTTAATCTGTTTTTATATAAGGAGTGACACATATTATGGGCCACCGTGTATACAGAAGTACTCAACTATAAACCCACTTGACTATAAAGCGCTCTCGCCAGTGCCAATCGTGCTCTCTGCCCTCCACTCAACGCCAATCCTCGATCACCGACAATATTTTGATCACCGTTTTGAATCTCAGCAAGATCCTAAGTTCCTTTGATTGATCACCAATTCCCTGACTCACTTGTTTCAACGCTGACATCTCGATAAGTATCGACAATCTCGATAACTTCCGCATAAAGCTCAGCATTGTATGCTTTTCCGAAAAGAACATTGTCTCGAATCGAAAGCTTCATTTCGAAATCGATTCTTAAGCCAATGTCTTCTCCTTGTTAGCCAAAAAAAAGAGTCGAATTTGGCTTACGAAGCGAAATAATTCATAGCTTTCTCGAAATAGCTTCTCAAACAATTGTACTTTCCATCTTTTCCACACTTTAATGCCAATTTTTTAGATATCCACCAATTCTTGGTGAAAAATCGCGGTATCCTGTTGAATCTGATCGAGAAAGCGCTCCTCAACAACGAGAAAATGCCGTCCGAATCCGAGGTAATTCATCAAAAACCAAACTTTCTATTATCCAAAAAAACAAAACCAAAATTTCAGCTCAATTTCAAAAGTATTTTGGTGTCAAAAGAAACAAAAGAAAATCTCTCTCTCGAATCTGTCAAAACTATCAAAACTATCAAACCAATCAATATTTTGGTCTCTCTCAACCATCTCTACTGTAGCCAAAAAACGAGAATTTCCCTGAGGAATGCAAATTTTGATGAAAATTGAAGAGAAAGGTAGATAAGATGAAAAGAAAATGAAAAGAAAATGAAATGGAAAACCCGCAAGAGGGTCAAGAATGAGGAGAAGACTGCAACAAACCAACAAACCTGCAACAAACCTTGAACTTTCAAAATAAAACAGCAAGAAACAACAGAAACGAAGATTTTGACTCGAGTTTTGACTTGAGTTTTACCCATTTTACCCAGTTTTACCCAAATTCAAAGCCTAACCAATCTCTTTTTGTGTGATCATTAACATTGGTGAAGGATCTTCTAAAAAAACCTTAAAAATTCTCTTACTAATCTTTCTCTAAAGATTCTCTAAGGATTCTCTAAAGATTCTCTAAGGATTCTCTAGAGATTCTCGAGAGATTCTCTAAAGATTCTCTAAAGATTCTCTAAAGATTCTCTAAAGATTCTCTAAAGATTCTCTAAGAGTTCTCTAAAGCTTCTCTAAAGATTCTCTAAAGATTCTCTAAGAATTCTCTAAAGATTCTCTAAGAGTTCTCTAAAGATTCTCTAAGGATTCTCTAAAGATTCTCTAAAGAGTCTCTAAAGATTCTCTAAAGATTCTCTAAAGATTCTCTAAAGATTCTCTAAGAGTTCTCTAAAGCTTCTCTAAAGATTCTCTAAAGATTCTCTAAGAATTCTCTAAAGATTCTCTAAGAGTTCTCTAAAGATTCTCTAAGGATTCTCTAAAGATTCTCTAAAGAGTCTCTAAAGATTCTCTAAAGAGTCTCTAAAGATTCTCTAAAGATTCTCTAAGAGTTCTCTAAAGATTCTCTAAAGATTCTCTAAAGACTCTCTAAGAATTCTCTAAAGATTCTCTAAGAGTTCTTAAAGATTCTCTAAAGATTCTCTAAAGATTCTCTAAGGATTCTCTAAGGATTCTCTAAAGATTCTCTAAGGATTCTCTAAGGATTCTCTAAAGATTCTCTAAGGATTCTCTAAGGATTCTCTAAAGATTCTCTAAGGATTCTCTAAGGATTCTCTAAAGATTCTCTAAGGATTCTCTAAAGATTCTCTAAGGATTCTCTAAGGATTCTCTAAAGATTCTCTAAGGATTCTCTAAGGATTCTCTAAAGATTCTCTAAGGATTCTCTAAGGATTCTCTAAAGATTCTCTAAGGATTCTCTAAGGATTCTCTAAAGATTCTCTAAGGATTCTCTAAAGATTCTCTAAGGATTCTCTAAGGATTCTCTAAAGATTCTCTAAGGATTCTCTAAGGATTCTCTAAAGATTCTCTAAGGATTCTCTAAGGATTCTCTAAAGATTCTCTAAGGATTCTCTAAGGATTCTCTAAAGATTCTCTAAGGATTCTCTAAAGATTCTCTAAGGATTCTCTAAGGATTCTCTAAAGATTCTCTAAGGATTCTCTAAGGATTCTCTAAAGATTCTCTAAGGATTCTCTAAGGATTCTCTAAAGATTCTCTAAAGAGTCTCTAAAGATTCTTCAATCTGACTTCTCTTTTAGAACTTCTAGAACTTCTTTTCCATGATATAATAGGGATTTACGTTGGGTTGACATTTGACAGCTGAAAGCTCGTTTTTGACATTTACTTTGTACTCAAAAGTGTAAACACACCTTTCCTGGTGCTTTAAAAGTCTAGAAAGTCCAAATCAGTCAAGGCTTTAGAAGAATTGAGTACGGCAAAGTTATGTGTGATTCATTCTTGTGTTTGTCGCATTCTCGTTCTGGTGGGGTAAATCAAAAGTACACCAGAATATGTGTGTTTCCATTTTTGAGCACAAAGTTTATTGCAAAACATTACTAACGATAAGTAGAGATTTATCTTCTAACTCTACTTTAGCAAACTCGAATCGCGAGGGATAACAAGTTGAGAAGCCCGAGCTCGTCGAGGGGAACTCCGTCAGTGAATGGAAAAGAGTGGGTGGAGAACTTTCAAAAGTCATTTCTGTGAATGGCCTGGCTAGAAAGTCTATTAGTCTGGCTAGAAAGTCTATTAGTCTGGCTAGAAAGTCTATCAGCCTGGCTAGAAAGTCATTTCGCGATTCTTTTCTAAACCACCAGATATTAAAAAAACTCTTTTATAACTTTCTTCTAATAAAAATATTAGAAGAAAGGATTCTTTCTAAACCGCGATTCTTTTCTAAGCCGCGATATGTTTGGTTATGTAAACGACTACCAAACATAACTTAACTTAAGTTAAGTTATGTTTCGTAGTCGCTTTGGTTTAAAAATTTGAGTGAAGCGAAAAGACTTTCCGCATAGCTTAATAAATGTTCAGGCTCAAAAAAACGTAACCAAATTGTTTTCAGCAGTCGCCGTAGCATCAATTCGAACTCTGGAAGCCCACCGCCGCGTCGTGATCGATCAGAGAAGAAATCAAGAAAGAGAACACCCAGCCGATCAAGGAGTCGCTCAAGAAGTCGCTCACGCACTCGCAGGTAGAATTTGTCTACTTAAATGTCTACTCAATATAATGACCAATGGTAGATCCAATGTTAGATCAATCAGAGCCAATTGTAGATCAATTCCTGAATTTGTCATTTATAAAAGCTCGTAGAAAAAAGTGCCTGAACTGGGCCAATTTAATCGATTCTACAAGGTGACCGCAAATTATGGTGACACCTTTTTTAGAAAAGTTGCTGGCACGCTTGACTTATTATCAAAGTGTCAAGTGTTATATAGGAAAAATAATGTCCTTTATCTTGGCTTCATTTATATACAAAAAGCTTGGTGATTGGAGTTATACAACTCATTTTACAAGCTCTCGAATGAACTCAAGTCGGCGATCTCGCTTCTCTCCGGCAAGATTTTTAACAATCTTTTATTAAGAAAAGTGTCAAAAATGGCATCTCGCCGGAGAGAGGTCGACTTGAGCTCCTTCGAGAGCTTGTAAAATGAGTTGTATAACTCCAATCTTCAACCTTTTTGTAGATAAATGATGCCAAGATAAAGGGCTTTATTTTTCTATATAACACTTAACACTTTGATAATAAGTCAAGCGTTTGCCAGCAACTTTTCTAAAAAAGGTGTCATCATAATTCACCCTGTAGTCCATTGAGCAGGCTTTAGCTCTTATAGTCAACCTAGTGCTCAAGAGAAATTGTTTTTGAATGAAAAGAGAAGTGTTATGTGAACTGAAGACGATTTGTATTGTGCTGTAGTTGCTCGAAATACTTTAGCTTGGTTGAAAGCTAGAAAGAAAACTTGGTTGAAACGATTGCCTATAGCAGGGGAAAACGCTCACTAACCTTCGCGTTTTCCACGCAATCTAAGCCTGCCAATGGCACACAGACGGACGGACAGATGTCTTTTCTGCTTTATATATAGTAGATAATAGGATAAATGGCTCGAAGAGTCCGAAAATCTTCTTGAAAGGCCGAAGAGTCGATGAAACAAATGGGTAAAAAATTCCGCTTTTGTTTGTTCGTTTTTATTTGTGGATCAACTACATAAAAACTTCCAAGAAACGACATTTTAAAACTCCAGAAACAACAATCCCTTTGATTTGGGCGTTCTGTCAGTGGGTGAACAGTAAAAGCTCTTTATAGCTGAGTTGTTCTAGACTCCTTGCTGTATGGAGCTTTGACTATGTTTGGGGAAATCATTTGGGTGAAGAAAACTGGGATTAAGTTGCTATAATTTCTATGATTGCAATGATTGCAATGATTGCAATGATTCCTATGATTCCTATGATTGCTAGGATTGCTATGATTGCTATGGTTCCTATGATTTCTCTCGGTTTCAGCAACACGTATTCACCGGTGCCCCGGCGTCACTCAACCTCTTCACGATCTTCTCGATCTCATCTCCCACCACCCTCACAAGTCCATTATGGACGTGGGCGTTATCGGTGAGTAAACCGATTGACTTTCAGCGTACTTTACTGGCTTGTACTTTGCTTGTACTTGTACTGACTTGTACTTTGATTGTACTTGTACTGGCTTGTACTTGTACCGGCTTGTACTTTGCTTGTACTTGTATGGCTCGTACTTTGATTGTACTTGCACCGGTTTGTACTTTGATTGTACTTGTACCGGCTTGTACTTGTACCGGCTTGTACTTGTACTGGCTTGTACTTTGCTTGTACTTGTACTGACTTGTACTTTGATTGTACTTGTACTGGCTTGTACTTGTACCGGCTTGTACTTTGCTTGTACTTGTATGGCTCGTACTTTGATTGTACTTGCACCGGTTTGTACTTTGATTGTACTTGTACCGGCTTGTACTTGTACTGGCTTGTACTTGTACTGGCTTGTACTACTGATGAATGTAAACACATCCTATCCGAAGCACTGAATCTACCAATTTCTCTTGCGGAACACTTTGGTTTTGCCTTGAGAAAAGGGAAAGCCAAGTGCACGAGAAAGGATGTGTTTCTGGTTTCAGCAAAAAGTAAACTAGTACTACACTTTAACTATTGGGTTGATGCATAATTATCCGGACTTCTTTTATAAATGATTTTATTTAACAAAAAATAACATAAATAGTTAGAAAAATATGTTTAATTGATTATTCTGGAGCATATTCACCGC